CTGACAGTATCATGCCCGACAAGCAATCAGAGGAGCATTTTTATGCCCGTGCAAGACTTGATTAATAGACGTTGCATTCTTTCTGAAATCAGGACGCATAAATACTGCTAGCTGCTTGTCAAGCAGCTGATTAGGGCTTAACAATTAAACAGTGTGGGAAGGGGGAAGCAGAGTATGGGTTTGTAAACATGGAAACCAAGCATATGATACTTGCATTACTCATGATCGTAAAATGCTATGCATTTAACAAACACCCCCTCCGCCTCAAAAAGATGTAATTTTTTCTTTTAGAGCTTTATGTGGTTCACAACTTTTCTCTCTTTTGCATAAATTATTTCAAGCACGCAGTTTTTCACTTTAATAAAAAGTGTGTCTAATCAAACTAGGCCTATGTTTTTGGGATGGAGGAAGCACTATGAGTGGGAAGACCTTAACAACAACAACAACAACAACAACAACAACCCAGGTAAATCCCACAAAAGTAGGGTCTGGGGAGGGTGTGTGTACGCAGACCTTGCCCCTACTCGAAAGTAGAGAGGCTGTTTCCAAAGAGACCCCCGGCTCAACGTCGAAAGTTGCATTGCTTGACTAACTGCTACTTCATTAATTAAAGAAGCGCAAACAGTTTAGAGATCCATTTTGACCCATTTTTATATAAATCATAACATAAGAACCAGGATCCTGGGAGCACAACTCTTTGAAAGCAGCCCGAGAGCCAAATAATAGTGGAGAGAAACTTAGGAGCTATTTGGCTTCAAATCAAAAAGTTGATTTTGCAGTTTCTCATTCCAGAGTTAAATGTGTGTTGCATTTGTTTTAGATTTTGAAAAGAACTAGTTGCTTCATTCTGCTTTCTACTTTCTAGGACGTATTTTCAGAAATAATTAACTACTTGATTCTCTAGAATCAGCTAATTATTAAACAGCCGGTCCAAAAAGAGAAAGGTTGCCAAATGACCCCTTAGAATCAATAGAGCAAGTTATATGCCATAAAGAGGACGGGGAAAATAGTTGAAAATGCCAAAATCAGTCAAAAAAGTGAGAAATTGAGGCTTAGAGACTCGGAGTTTAGGTCAAAGGGATCTTTTAAAAAAAGTAACTGTCACAGAGCCAACCTATTATCCTGTTTTCATAGCCTGCATCATTAACTTTTAAAGATCATGCAACATTACTATGTGATGTTGATCTTTTTTTTGGAAACTGCGGTTTTGATTTTATTGTTGTTAGTTTTGCCTTGAACCAAACTGTTAAGGCATGGATTGATTGAATGATCGTGTGATCTTATATTTCAAAATGTAATTTTGGCCATCTAGTGACATGTTCAAGGTAATTTAATTATCAAGGGGTCAAACTACTTATGTTGTACTCCATATTGTATATCATGTCGTCAATCTTCTGGCTAGAATCTAAAAGACATACGATAGGATTTAGGCAAAGGCTAGATCTGTAAAAAGTTCAAAAAGAGGAGAAATTTTGATGCAGCTCCTCTCACTGGATATTTCTTGCTGCGCATCCAGCATTTGAATAAATTCTCCCTCCAGTTCAATATATATTTTATGAGTGTTCATTACAGTATAATTTGGGGGTATTACAGTGGTGTATGGAGAAACTTTTTAAACCGGGGCGGTAGTTGAATCTATTGTGCATCTAACACTACACTGGTTGGGCTTGTCGTTACACTTGGCTTAGAGTGTCTCTTCAAATGTTTATCCATAACCCACACCGTTTATACTTTTTAGTTTAGGTTTTTTCAGAGATACTAATGTGTTATGAGCGTGGTTGGCAGAAAAGACCATACCTTGTTTGATTTTTCGTTCTATAATCCTGATTGCTTCTGTTTCAGGTCTTGCATATGGGGCCAGTGAATAGAGGGATGTGACTGCTCAGCAGTTTTCAATATGATTGTAAAAATTTTGGAGGGACTCCACGCTGCTTGTGGGCATAATGAATCCTACTGCAAATAAGCTGTTCTGGACAAGGCTTTTCTGTTCTTAGTTGTGTGTTCTTAGAAACCATGAAAATATACTCTCTGTGTTGTATGCTATTCAATCATAGTTAGGGTCAGATATGTTTGGTACAGTAATGAGGAAGTATATGCTGGAAATGGCTAATAAAGCTTCTCCCCAATTTGTTACTTCTTGAGTGCGACTTTAAATTTGTAAAAGCTGGACCATTGCAGTCAACATCTTCATCTTTTAATGTGTATTCAAATGGTTCCACTAGTTGCTTCTGAATTCTCGAAGACACACAGACTTGATAGGACGACAGGGCTGATCTTCGGGCCCGATTGTGCCGCTATATTATGAGAATTTTCTAGGCTCGAGCTAGCCTTGCCGGAATAGCGGGCATGGCAATTGAAGTTCGAGTATGCAATGCATGGGCACACACTTGCTTCAGGCTAGCATGGCTCCACCCCTATTCAAAAAGAGAGCTGGCAGCGGTGGACAGAGGATCCCATGCGTATATAGTTATATTCAATGTATGTTAGTGTGATCAATATCAATGTGCGATCTACAATAATAAGAACATCTTTGTTTGATGAAATGTACGGAGTACTTAAAATTTTCACTTTTTTTTTGTCCTAAAAAAAACTTATCTTTGTTTGAATAATACGGAGTACTATGTAATGCTGTACCCCTTACCAATGTATTTGTCTCAATTGACTCTTGTGGTCATAATGGACAAAGCCTGATCATCAATTAAATAAAAACTGCATTATATGGTCCGTTTGGAAAGGGAGAAAATGACTTCTGGACGAAGGAAAATGAGGTGTGGTCAAATGGAAAATATGCCCCTACAAACAGAATTAGACTTCCGCTATTTTTTTCCGGAAGACAATTTCCAGAACATGCGTCCGTCTCCTCCCCAACATTCACTCTGCATCTGGTTCCGAAAAAAAACATGGCCGTCTCCTCGCCTTACCCCTTCTGCTCTGCTTCTAGTTTCGATCATCACAGCAGGGAGCACATCACGCCTTCTACTTTGTTTCTGGTTCCTTCCGTCCCCATCACCACTGGTCATCATCACAACAAGGAGCACATCCGTAAGGTACCAAATCTGTCGGCATCATCGCACAGAAGATTCCCAAGGTGCCAAGTTTTCTTTCATTTTGAATCCTAATCGTGGGGGTGTAGCCAAACATCAGAAATAAAGAAAATGACTTCCGGAAAATAACTCATTTTCCAGAAATCAATTTCCTCATTTTCCACCTTTCCAAACGGACCCTAATGCAAAAATGATTTAGTTATATTTATGATTTAAAATATTTTCAAAATAAAATTCTACTATATACAATGCTAAGATGCTTTTCTGAACAGTGTTCCCGCCCAACATAATGGGTTGGGTCACTGCTCAATGGGCTGCTTTGTATGGGCCGATTATGGGTAAGTGTGTAGATAGGACTATACACCATGGAGCCTCACACCAAACTTTAATGTAATCTCCTTTATGTCCAATCAACATTTATTAAACAGATATCACTTTTGAAAGTTAGGTGACTGATGGACAATTAGACATAATGGGCCGACAACTTTTTAGTTAGCATCATTTAAATACAAACCACTTCAAAGTGAAGATTTGCAAATCTTTCGAGCCCAGTGCCTACAAGCTGCCTACTTCTAGCCGTGTAAACAATGAAATGGGAGCTGGCAACAACTAAATCAAATCAGGGTACAACCCACACAATAAATGTGATACATTTATTACAAAGCTCAGTATAAATAGATTAAAATTTACATTTTCAACATCCATAATCCAGCCATAAGTAGTCTCCTTCCAACTTCAAGGTTTGCAACTTTATCTTCTATCCATTATTAAATGTTCTTTCTCCTAGCAATGATTCTCTGATTTTTTTGCTATGTGATTGTAGGAATAATACACATAGATCGAACTCCAGAAATTCAAGCCAAGTGGATAATGGTTAAAGGCTTACAGTTAAAGATACAAACAATACAGGTACAATACAGTTTAAGATACAAACAATACAAGCCAAGTGTATTTCACTTTTGAAGAAATTAAATACAAAGTCAAGGATTAAAAAAATTACACAAATGTGCATCTGCATTAATCACTTCAATAAACTACAGAGTACATAACTGGGTATTTTCTATACGCTTATCAAATTTGAAAGACATTTTAAAAAACTATGAATGGTGCATTGTTCATTGTTCAATGCATTAGAAATTAGAAATATGATACTCCATACCTTTTTTTTAAACTGATGAAGGGCATGTTCTCTGAAAAACAATTTTAAATATTTATGATGATTTTAGATTTCAAAGCTCAAATAAAATATGATACTTCGTATTGTTTATATTTGCACTAGCTATAGGGAGAGAGGTTGTAAGAAAGTTGAGGCAATAACAATGAAGTCATTAAAACTTAAAAGAGTAAATTTCATAAAAGGTCCTTAGTTATAATTGGTTTTTACATATTTAGTCCCTACATACTAAATATCAATAATTTAGTCCCCAATTAATATATATTCTTTTCCACAAAAGGTCCTTTGTTAACATTTTCGTTAAGAACGTGAATAAAATTGTAAATTCACACTCTTTTCTCTCCTCAATTAAGCTTCATCCGTCCCCTTGCAATTCTTTCTCAAATTCATCGCTGAGTTTGAAGCTTTGAATCCAAAACCGAAATCATCACTCTTCTCTCAATGTAATATTTAAGTGGAGTTTTTTTAGTTTTGGAAGAAAGGGAGGGAATATGAGATGAATAACTACCTAGTCTTTAATTAGCCTCCAAACATTCAGAGATAAAGAAACAGTAGAAGAGAGATGTTTGATCCTCAAAATTCGACAAAAGATACAACGAATTCTCAAATTCATACTGTAATTAGTAGTCGGCACAGGTCTCACACTTACGATTTGAATGCCAACTACCAACACATCACAAATGTCGAGGATTTAGAATATAATAGGAACAAAAAACGGCCCTAAAATATTTAAACCTCTGATTCTCGCGAAGGTAAAATCAGTGCGGCTTGAAGACAAGCCAGAACCTTACCTTCATTCATTGAACGCATAAATTGCTTAATTTACGCAAGATGGCATAAAAAAATATGCTTAATCATTCACACAAATGTGATAGGTGAAAGCATCCTGAAAATAAGAAACATAGGGAGGACCAGCACATATTATAAATGGACTCTACTGTAACATCAAATTAACATTAAATAGAGTCTTCAGATGATAGAAACCTAGCATTTCTACAGAGGCATAACTTGACCCAGCCCCAAAGCAATAACAAAGGATTCTAATTCATATACTTCACATGACATTAATCCTTATCTGCTTTCAGCTCTTCTTTGATCTCATCGTTTCCCTCATCCTAAAAAAACCATGTTCATAGAGACAAACAATCACACACAAAAACTCTTAGTAAGAAATGCGGGTACAACGTTATTACCAAAGAGCTGAAGATATACCTGCATGTCTGAAGTCCACAAAGTGAGGTTATCACGAAGAAGCTGCATAATCAGAGTGCTATCCTTATATGACTCCTCTCCTAGTGTATCTAGCTCTGCTATTGCCTCATCGAAAGCCTGTGGTTATTCGTTTTATCATTCAAAAAGCTAATAATTTCCTGATTAACTGAGTAAACTAAAATGGCAAATCACTTCATAACACTAGAATTTAAATAAAGATGATGAAATTAATAACTCGCACAAATATTTGCGGCAGATCCGATACAACAACAACAACATTAGCCTAGTGCCTCAAAGGCTCCCGCCCATTGCGGGGTAAGGGTGGGACAACGAATTGTGAAACTCATTTGAAACGAATAGTCGTACCTTGAAGAGGAATCTCTGTACATACGAATTGACAATGGTACTGGTCATAAATTTGGAGAGTTTGCTTTTATATATATATATATATATATATATATATATATATATATATATATATATATATATATATATATACACATATATATACACACACACACACATCCTGCACTCAAATTTTGAGATAATGCATTTTAAAAGGATTTAGGTGCATTTCGACATGATGCATTTTCAAACCATTTTGGTGCACCTAATTTTGATGCAATCCTGACCCTTAGATCTCACAATCGAAAGCACCAGATTCATTCTCATTTCTCTCCTAAGATCGCATTCTCACGAAAAAATCTATATATATATATATATATATATATATATATATATATAATTTTTTTAGTATATACCTAGATTTAGTATATATTCTACAAAATGCTACAAGTTTCAACTTGCATGCGCTGAAGGAGTGGAAAGCTCCGTGGTTTGCATTTGGGTCGGCGGTCTTGGGTTTAAATACAGCTGTAGGATGACTATATATTATTTTTTGGAAGATGATATTTAAAACAATGTCAGTTTTTTTTCTTTCTTTTTTCGGTTTTCTCTTAAACCTAAAGTTTGACCCATCCCACTTCCCAGACGATTAGACAAAATCGGAAGACCCATCCTCTCGCTGACGATTGACCCATCCTCTTGCCGGCGGCCGACTACAAAGTACAAACCTCCGCCGGACCGCCGATTGGAAGTTGGAACCGACGAGGACCCCCAATTACTCGAACAAATCTTCATCTTCCATTGCTACTTTGCCAGGTTTTTTCTCTTGCATAATTGAATCTAATCATCTAAATTGGATATTTCTTTTTTTATTTATAAATTGTGAAAATTTTAATTTATTGTAGCAAAAACGGGCACTCGAAGGCGGAATAATCTAGTACTCCATCCGTACTCTTTGCTTCTTCTCACTTTCTTCTTTGAGCTGTCCGTTTTTGTTCTTCTCACTTGCCTAATTTCGCACACAAATATAATAAAATCCCTATTTTCCCCTTACTAAAACAACCTAATTACTACTCCTATTTACTACCCTCAACTTCCTAGCCCCCCGCCTCCCCCCTAGAGAGGTTGTTTCCAAAAGACCTCAGCTCAAATATCACAAATAGCTAATAAGTCTATTATATGCATGTGTTTCAATATCTTTTAATATACTTATTAACTTGGATTTTAATATTAATTAGAGCTTAATTGTGTATTATTCCTCAAATAGTTAACTTTAGATTGATTTGTTATGATTGAATGATTGATTGATTTTAAGGTCCAACTTGTAGTTAAAGGTTTGAATTCCAAGATAGCTTGAAAACTATTGGGCCAATCTCTGATTTCTAAAAGATCATTTAATGTGGGAGTCTACCGTAGGACCGGGTGTACATGCACACCCGATAAATTCTTCAATTTGATTTGTTATGATTGATTGATTTTTTAAGGTCCAACTTGTAGTTAAAGGTTTGAATTCCAAGAAAGCTTGAAAACTATTGGGCCAATCTCTGATTTCTAAAAGATCATTTAATGTGAGAATCTACCGCAGAACCGGGTGTACATGCACACCCGATAAATTCTTCAATGCATATGTGCTTCCTTGCTTCTCTTCTCCGGTGTGATGTGAACAAAATAACCTGATGTAATTGTACACTAGAATATTTCCATTTAATGTTGATTTTTGCACCCAGGCTATTCGGCTATTCTTTCCTCGATGGCGTTCATCGGAATATACGTGACCGGACCCGCAGCTGCAACCCGACTCACCACCAACGACGAAATGCAATCAGCCTAGACCAGACACCAGCGCCGCCAAATCTGGTGACAAACAGAGGCAACGCGGCTGCCTGAATCAGCAGTGACGACCGGTGTCCCTTCCACTGCTCTGGCGACGAATCAGCAGCTTGAATCCCCGACAAAGTCGTAAGTTTTGATGCGGGAAATTTCCGGCGACCTTGTCCGGATACAGAGATCAGACGCAGAAACTCATGGCCAAGCATAGAAGCAAATTCTAGATTTGATTTAGGGCCTGAAAGGACCTTTATACCCCTGGTTCTTTTCTTTGCTTATTTTCATAGTTATACCCTTATTGGCTATTCACTCCCACTTTCTATAATCATATAAATACTCCCCTAGCTCCAAATTGTCAAGGTAGCTCCCCCATTTCTTCTTTTAACATTTTAGACTAGGGTTTATCTCAAGCTTTTTCTTCTTCTTCCCATTTTATTTTGGCCTTTTGGGAGCTCCAACCTTTAGATTTTACTCTTTACAATTATTTACTTCTTTCTTAGTTTTTGTTCTATCCGATAGCTTCTCATCTTTGCTTTTATATTTAGTTTGCTACTCTCTTATCTTTTTTCGCATCCTTAACATTTTAGCATGTTAGGGTAGATTTTCTAGATTAGGTAGGTGATGTGACATGTGTTAATTGTCATTGGATTGTTGTGGATTTTGTGATCTTGATCTACGTTGCTTTTGGAGATTGTGCTTATTTAGGATTGTATGTTGTTGTTGGCCACGATGGCATGCTTGCATTTAGAAATGAGTTCTAAATCACTGAGGAATCAGGATTTAGACCTCAAGCCGTGTGTCTCGACCCTCAAGTCTTACTATGGAAGTGGAGGATACTTGAGGAGATCGTTTGATATGTTTGTAGTTCCCTTGAGACGAGGACCATAGAAGTGTACTCTTATCTAGAGGATTTTTTCTTGATTTCCACGGAAGTGAGATATGGGGTGATTTGCTCGCCTCCTTGTTAATTTCACATTTTCCTCTATTCCTTTGGCAATTGCATTGTTAGCATGAAATCCATAACCTAGGCTTGCTTCACTTCTAGTTCCTGCATTCTATTTTTAGTTTTGTTCACTGGATTAGTCTAGTTGATTTCACTTGCATTTCATTCTCTTCTCTTTCATTAGGCCTTGATTCACATGTTGCAATTTGATATTGGTGTTTAATTACACTTTGCACTTAATTCCTAACCAATCACACTATCCCTGAGGACACGACATCCGTACTTCACCACCATTCTCACTCATACTTATATTTTTCCCATTTGTATTTCATTCACTTCATCTTTTGATTGGAGGTTTTCAGTGTCAAACGATGCACCAGAAATTTCCCACATCAATAGCAAAAGAACACAAAACACATAAATCTAGGAAAACACATAGCATATAAAAGCAAAGAACAAACTAAAAACAGAAGAAAGACACAACAAGCATAAAAAAGCACACAACAATAAGAAAGAAAACTATCACCAAACAAAAAACGCCTACCCAGCTACCCCAATCCTAACTCTCAAAATATTCCTATTTAAGAATATACCCTCAGTAAATGCTAGAAGTCCTAGGTCCTTCGTAGACCTGATCACGGGCCTAGGTGCCCGACCTACCCACAAAAGCTCAGGCTTGGACTTGATATTTTAAGCTACGGGCCGGGCTCGGGCTTTATGAACGGCGGCCCGTGTACTTTAGGGTCGAGCTCGAGTTTTATATTTTAGCCCATGGTCCGGTCCGACCTGATTTGAATGAATATTAATATTTATTATTGCTAGAATTATCATAAAACAATAATAGCAATAACATTATTATTATTATTACTATTATTATTATTATTATTATTAACAACAATACTGTTTCAAAGCATTATAAACACACATACGCACTTCAGGGAGAAAACGAGGGAAGTAGAAGTAAATTTAATAAAATGAATATATCTTTATTACTATGTATTATTTACCTTGTATCAACATTGATAATGATATTCAAATAAATAATAGAAACATTATCCTTTCAAAAAAAACATTATCAAACAAAACATATTTTATATACTAGTCATTTTTTGATATACTCATTATAGTTGTTATATCAAACATCTAACACATTACTTCATTCTATAAAAATAGTTTTCAATTATTTAGAAGTTGTTGCCCATGCAACCAGAAGCCCTCGGGCTCGGGCCGTGAAAATTGTCGCAATGTGGCATCTAGGCTCGGTCCGCACTTTGATCTGGTCTAATCCTTGATAAATGCTAATCACCTCCTAAGTCCTAGTTGTGCCAAGTCACCTCCTTCCAAGTCCTAGGTCCTACCAACCCAACGAACTATTGTATTTGTAACATTATATTCGATGTAAGAATCATCATTATAGTATTATGACCTTTAATCATTCCCGTGCATTGGTGTTGTACTAGTTTAACTTCAAATTTTCAAACGAAAGAATTAGATCACCTGTTTGGCTAGATTGCAAGCACGATCAGGTGAATTCAAGATCTCGTAGTAGAACACAGAGAAGTTGAGAGCAAGACCAAGACGAATCGGATGGGTAGGAGCCAATTCTGCAATAGCGATTTCCTGAAAGAAATAAAGACTTTCAGTTGAGAATTATAATTTCAATTTCACGTTTCATATATCAAAATGTGTGACTGTAAGATTCAATAGTAGCGTTTGCAAAACTTATACTAGTACATTTAATTGAAGGGGTTAGATAAAATAAAAAAAGTTCGTCCTAACCCTAACGCTAGCAAAAACAAACCTGAGCAGATTTGTAAGCGGAGAGAGTGTTCTCAGCCGCCTCTTTCCTATCGGATCCGGTCTTGAATTCAGCCAAGTATCGGTGATAATCACCCTTCATCTTCAGATAGAATACCTTGGAATCGCCGGAGTGAGCTGAGCTGATGAGTTTAGAGTCAAGCAGCTTGAGGATGCCGTTGCAGATCGAGGTCAACTCAGACTCGATCTTAGATCTGTAGTCCTTGATGGAAGCAACGTGGTCATCGTTTCCGCGGTTGTCCTCTTTCTGCTCGATGGAAGAGATGATGCGCCAGGAAGCTCGGCGAGCGCCGATCACGTTTTTATAGGCAACGGAGAGGAGGTTGCGCTCCTCAATCGTCAGTTCATCGCCGCCCTCTGAGGCCGCCACAACTTTCTCCATAGACTCCACCATCTCTTCGTAACGTTCGGCCTGCTCGGCAAGCTTCGCCATGTACACGTTCTCTTCGCGGGAAGCGGCCATTGATGAGAGCTTTTTTTAGAAAGGGAAACAAATTTGATAAAACAGACAGATCGCGACTGGAAGTCGTACTTCTTCGGATAATTATTTATAGACCTTCAAAACATGCCACAAATATGTTACTCGTATAAATTAGGGAGTACTTTCAACCGAGAAGGAAGATGAAACAGAAAAATATTAAATACTCCCTCCGTCTGAAAATAATTTTCCCACTCTACGTTTTTTCGTCCGTAAATAATTTCCTACTCTACGTTTTTATCAACTCTCTTCCAAAAATACCCCTCTTTTTTCTCCTACTCAATCACCCCTACCCACGTTTGACCATTCCCACTTATTCTTTCTCTCTCTCTTCCCCCTCCCCTTCTTTTTCTTTCTCGTGGTTCTGGTTTTGTTCTTCTCATTCTTCGTTTCTTCTACCTCTCTTTTTCTTCTCTCTCTCTCCCCTTCTCCTTCGTCGTCTTTTTCTTCTCATCTTCAATCTCCTTCTATTTCTTTCGTCTTCCCTCAAATCTTGCCTTTGTCCCTTTTTCTTCTTCTTCTTCTTCTTCTTCTTCTTCTTCTTCTTCTTCTTCTTCTTCTAGATCTGTGTTAGATCTGCAGGGCTAGCTGCAATTGTAGAGCAGACGGCGATGATGGGAGCTAGATCCAATAGATCTGTACTGGATCTTTTTCTTCTCGTGGGGCGGCGATGGGCTGGGCAGAGGCGGCGGTGGGTTGGGCAGAGATGG